ACAGAGCTAGATGTCATTACGAGTTGACTGTAATTACACCGGGCCCATTATTGTGGCATTTTTTTTTCCTTTTTCTTTTTTCTTTTTTAAATGAAAAACGGCTCCATTTATTTTCCCTCACACGCTGAGTGATGCAAACAGAATGTTTGCCCGCCATCTAAATCTGCAAAGCGCACATCCAGAAAAGTCCATTCATTTAGAGCAATACTCACGGGCTTTGGGTTTAAAAAAAAAAAGAAAGAAGAAGAAGCAGGTGTGCGGCTGAGTTCCTGCCCTCTCACCAGATAATTCAAGTGAGTGATGTGTGACCTCCAGCAGCTCCACACAAAACATGCGACCTTCTCGCGATGAGATCTTACCAGGTGTCAGAGCAGATTCTGGGAGGAGTGATTGAACTGTTTGTTTTTTTGTAGCGCCGGGACAATAGTGCTGCCAGCTTAAACTGCTCATGGCAACCTGCTGTGTCTGCTTTCAGTGCAGCGCCTCCCTCAAACTTCTTTTCAGTGTCTCTTCGCCTCTTGCTAAATCGTGAAAAACTGCATGCAATGATGCTGTGAATGGAATGCCGAGCAGGTTTCTTGTTTCTGTTTACACTCATCCATTATGTCGTCTTTTTTGCATCCAAGCCACATCAGGTTAAATCAGAATTTAACTCTGTTTTATATGAACAGCACTTCTTTTTTTTAAACTTTCCATTTGCCTCTGATCTCTCTCTTCCTGTATGCACATGTGTGTATCTGCCAGAGTGCTAAAACACCATGAGGGAATTGGGCCTTTGCCACCCCCACTTCTCACAAATGTGAGGGGATAGTAAATATCAGCGCGGCAGATGGGGCCGATGCTCCCTCTCTGCCTCCCTCCCATCCTTAGAGAGGGCAGAGCAAATGGATAGCCATCAACAGCAGCAGGAGTCGCCCCAGGCCAAGACTGGAGCAGAGGACACAGGGACTACACTGTTGCTCAGGCAGGCAATTTTACAGACACATTTTCCCTGACTATCAGCAAGGGAACCACACAACATTAGGAATAAGTACTCATAAGATCATTGCGTCTAAGATTTCATGGTATATAGACATCTGAGTAATAAACATCTTGTTTTCTCATATATATTCACAAGATAATTAATGCTATTTATGGTTCAAATAGCTTTATTTTGTTATTTTTTTTCCCCCATTTTGGGTTATATTGCTGTTACACAAGAGACCGACTGCTGGTGTGTCATTTCAGTGCTCTGTCACACACCTCGCAGGACCTGTAAAGCACTGGCAGTGTGAAACAGCATGACATGCTTGTATAACATAGCAGGGGGAGGTGGGAGGGGGGGTGGGGGCCTTACTTGGCCAAAACTGGTGTCAACACAATCTTCATCACAAAACAGGAGATCTTCAGCTGATAGAATAAATCCTGCCAACTTAACAATCAACAATCAGTAAACTGGTTTAAATTTGGGCGAGCTGAAATGTTATTGTTGTGATGAAACCTCCAGCTAGGAGAGCATATATCAGTATTCCCACAGCAATATCAGCTAGCCTCCCGCTGGGGCAAGAGGAGCACATGTGGATCAACGATGACACAACATGGAATCTTACTGAGCGGCGGCGCAGACTAAGCAGTGATGTAATGCCTCTGAGCTCACTGGCGAGAGGAAGAGAGAGAGAGAGAGAGAAAGGGGGAAAAAAGATGTGAAGAAATCATAACATGCCTTATTGTTACTGGATTTAACATGATTAGGATGAAATAGAGAGCAGAGTTTCATCCTTGAGCACTGTGACATTGCAGACATATATTAGATGATCATTCGCAAACTAAGAGCTTTACCTCCAGCCCCCTCCCCAAGCTCTGCAGCAGGGACTTTATATAGGTGTCACGTACTGTGTGTGTCTGTGATATTGCAGGTTATATGAATGATTTCAGCACTCGTGGGATTGGAAATTACTTTTTCGTCACCACAATAGGACCATCTGGGGCGGAGTGTAGAGCTGAATTCCTTGGAAGACAGTATTTCACTCAGTGTCTCCCAAACAATTTCGATTTCCATTTATTTATTTAAGGAGGAAATAGAAGGAAATTTCCGCGGGTCACTAATTTCATTTCAACGTGTACCAGTGGCTTTAGCCTTGAGCAGATATTTCAGAGGAACACAAAATCAATGTGGAGATTCTATTGGGAATAGCTCTGAAACCCATTAGCAACTTTGACCAATAGGTCAGGTAAAGTAATAGCCAGATAAATGTTTTATTGCAGATTTGCAAACTGACCTAATGGAGGAGGCTAGTACCTGGGCAGCAGTGCAAGGCAAATATTCATCATGAGATGCTATTGCTTTAATAAACACAAATTTTTCAGTGGCCAAGGCCTTTGGTTCTTTATATATAATGCGTGAAAGATTGGTCGCTCTAATCTGGCCCCAGACAAGACAAAAGGCAGCATCTGTTGTCCTCGCACAACACTGGAGCGATGCAATCACTCTAAAAGATTTGTTGTTATAGGGCTAATGCTTCATTTATATTACATCATACATAGCTGAGATCTATTGTTCAGAGAAAAGAAAATCCAGCAGAATCAAGGACTAAGATTTTGTATTTAATCTGCTCTGGTGATAAACAGTTAAATAATTAAAATCAGTGATATAAGTGTGTGCTACATACAGATCTGTGCCAATTTTAAAGAAATCATCTCATTCTATTTTTTCCCCTTTTTGTTTTTGTCCCATGAATTTTATTTATTTACTGTCCAAACAGGAAATCAGACAATAAGTGGGTAGAAAGAAAACCCTCCACTGACAACCACTGGGATTATTTTTTTAACCATCTTTACTATTCACAGTGATCTGCTAACTGTGTGCCCCTTATGCACATTTAACTAGTGACAAAATGAAGAATTTGTGGTCTTAGTTGTCCTTTAAAGTTTTCTTTTACATAAGATTTATATTCTTCCTGATTTTTTCCAAAGATTAAACACTAAGTGCAAGTGCCATTGTTTATCCCTGAGCTGCATATGCCACAGATCCTTCCTTTCATACACTTTTCATGCTGCTCTTTGCTGGGCAGTATGCTAGTTTTCTGAATGAAAGCCAGACAGACTGAGAGCTCCCACATGCAGAGAGGAGCCGCTCCTGTTTCCAGCTCAGTTTCCAAGGGGACCACCAAGCCCACCAATCACATCGCTCGGCGCAAGCACGCGGGCAATTCAATTTCTTAAAGCCGCAGTGTCCATTATCAGGGAGGTGTAGAGAAAGAAAGTACAGCCAAACAAAATCCAAAAAACAACACATTTGAAAAAGAAGACGAATAGAAAAGCACCTCAATGCTGCAGTTTAAAAGTGTTTTTCCTTTTTTCTTTTTATTAAATGTGAATTCACATGGTAGTTTGAGCCCATCCATTTAAAGAATCCGCCTAAATACAAAATAGGCATCATTCCGTCATCACATCCTTTTCAAACGCAACAAATAACACATCTGTGTACATATATTCACAAACTGAAAGGACAGTCGATGGTGGTAGGTACTTATTTATTAAAAGATGAGTCAGAGACAGATTCACACTTGGAATGTGAAGTAACTACTGCCTAGAACTTCCCAACAAAATGTCTTGGCATATAATTAGGTCATATTCCAAAACCTTTTTTTTTTTATCAAACAAACTTCATATGTAAGACCCACATAAAAATAAACAATATCTGCTTTTTTTAAGTGCAAGAAATAAAAAATACAGGTTTGTGGTTAATGTTTTAAAAAAAGAAGGCAGTCTTCAGTTTTAAAATAAAGTTTCATTTCATGAAACAGGACTATGGAATGTTCTTTTTTTGCTTGCTTGTTAAAAATGCCAGACCACCACTGTATGAGACTATGCCCTTTTGGAGTTAGTATGATTTTTTTCCCTAATTTGCAGTCAGGTTTAAGATGTTTGGTGTCAGATATGCCCATTATCTGATATCATGCGTCAAATAACATTCAAATTGCGATATCAATGTGTTTCAATAGCATGTATCACACCATGAGGCCATATTAAATTGTTTTGTATCAGTTCCAGCTGATTTGTTTATTTTCCTGCCTGGACAGGCTTCAGCATCATAACATGAAATGATGTCGACAGTGCACAAGTCTGTTTTTCCATCACTTGCTACAATTGTTGATGGTCTGTATCTTAAGAGTATATATTGCACAAAAAAATGAGAAGGGGGAAAAACAGTATGTGCCATAAAAAATACCAAAATCCAGTTTCACACCTGCGATTGGGACCCATCCACATATCACGAGTATGATATACATAAACTCCTAACTTTACTATATTACAGTACATATACAATCTTGAAACTAGTTCCAGCTCTGAGGTATGTGTTCCCCATGATGCCATTGTATCGTCTACAAATACTCAACAAATCTGCTCTACAACTGTACAAAACCTAGTTTAAAATCACAAGGCATTTTTGATGCAAGTTTTAATTTAACTTAATCCTTAAAACCAGGACTCCCTTGCATGCTAAAAACAAATGATAAAGGGAAGAAGTGCCTGAAACTCACTGAAAGCACAGTAAGAACATTCCCTTTGCAACTGTACAAAAATATGCCTGAAAATATCTTACTTTTCTTTTAAAAAGATGAGGTCTGTTATGTATCAAAATGTTTCCTCCACACTTGTATTCTGCAGAGGTTTAGGCTGCTTAATTTTTCCAAACCAGGAGGTAAAACGGAATCAGTTACAAAACAAACAAACATTTGCGGCATTAAGAAAAAATTACATAAACCGTTGTAAAGTAACATCCTGAACAATTTGTCAGTTCACAGATTTGCTTTGAGACAGTCCACACAGTCCGTGTTCAGCTCCCTGCAGTTTTTGTTGTTGTTGTCGTTGTTGTTTTAAGAGGAAAAGATGCATAGAAGTTCATGTATTTTCCCTTTGTGGTCCGTTTTAAGCTGAACAGTAAATGCAGACCTACGAGGGAAAACAATCCATAAAACCCTGTCATGCTGCCAGATAAAAAAGTCTGCAGACTTTGCTTTTTTTTTTTTTTTTGCTACCAGCTTCATAAGCATCTCATTCCTCAAACCTCACCTCGCCTCCTGGTCCTCCACCTCCCCCCAGGACCCTTAAGAAAAAAGAAAAAAACCCACAGGAGGCAGGGCTGGGGACAATTTGACCAGGACATATATAATTTCATATCTCCCTTCTCTGTTATTACTAGCTCAACTGTTTTTTTCGGTTTTGTTTTTTTCAGTATGTGAAGACGAGATCGGAAAAGTTCGCCTCCAGCCAGTCCCCGGCAATCATCTCACTGAGTTCTGGCGTGCAGTAGTCTGGGAATTCAAAGTGAGAGCCCAGGCTGCCCTCACTGAACGAGTCCAGGTCCTTATCCACAAGAGACAGGGAGAGGTTTCCTGAATTGGGGTTGCCCAGCTCAGAGCCCGGGGCGCTGGGAGCGAAATTTAAACTAAAGTCAAACAGCAAATCGTCCGCGTCGTCGCCGGAAGAGGAGCTGATGCTGGACGAGGAGGAGGATGTGGAGACCGACCTGGAGGATGCTGGTGAGACGGAAGCAGCGTGCAATGTACTTTGCTTGGTAATGTTTTTGATGCTGTAAAACAGTCTGTTGTTGTTCCGCACCTCTTCGTACATACTCGTCCCCTCGGACTCGGCCGAGGAGCTCAAAGTTGGACTAGCGGGAACTTTGGCTACATTGTACGGCCTCAGGCGCTCCTCCTCACCCGGCTTAATCCCCATCCGGTAGTCCTCTTCGTACTCGTCGTCATCGTCCTCATCGGTGAGCTCACTCTTTACAGTCTTTGCAACTTTTAAGCTGGGAAACACGCAATCCTCCGCGTAGCCGTGCGTGGATTTCGAGCCGCTCTTAGTTTTTATCTTTGAACTCTTCTTGTTGGGAGTCTTTGCAATCTTGCCGCACTTCTCCGGAGACGGTGCTGATGATTTTGAACTGTCGAGCTTTGGTTTTTTCTTCGGTCTGTACTTGTAGTCGGGGTAGTCAGCCATGTGTTTTAGCCGCAGCCTCTCGGCTTCTCTGATAAACGGGATCTTTTCGCTGTCCTTGAGCATCTTCCACCTCTTCCCCAGGCGCTTGGAAATCTCTGCGTTGTGCATGTCCGGTGACTGCTCCATTATCTTTCTCCTCTCGATTTTGGACCACACCATAAATGCATTCATGGGTCTCTTGATGTGACCGGTGGCTGTTTTGCACCAGTCCGGGTTTATCGCTACCGGACTGCATGCCATAAATTCACTCTCCTCCGAATCGGTAGCCTCCCTGGACATGCTCCCATCCGTCTCGCTGTTGTCCGTGTGCTGCACCATTGTCCTGTTTCAAAGTCACTTTGTTTCCGGACGCTGCAGTGTCTTAACGGCCCCACACTGCCAAGACGGCTCAGCTCTCTGTGTTTTGCGCCGGTTCGTTCACGTCCTCTGCGTATTGTGTCTCAAGCTCTGCACTCTTTTTCCAGAGTTACAAACTGCCTTCTTAACTAGTTATCAGCTTTTTCATGTCCCCTGCGTCACAGTCACTCATCCAATCACGTCCCTTCCACTCCGCCCAGCAGACTCCATCCAAGACTCCCCGTAACCCTATTCCTCCCTCCCGAAGCTCTCATTGGAGTGGAGGTGGGGATTTGTGGTACACAGCGTCTGGGGCAACACGCCGGCCGAGACAGGCATATTAAACACACAGTTAACGAAATGCGCTCTTGAGATGAGCGTCATGCGCCAAAGCGCACATAAGATATATGTCTGTTTCCTTACTTTAACTTTAAAAAATGTGAGAAGTTGCTCTTAAAACAAATACAATTTTGCATATGTATCTTGAGGAAAAAAAATGTAGGCTGTATGATTGTTTTTTTCCCCTTCTTCTTCCTTAGGTTGAGTACTGAAGGTGGCGCTTGGACACAGTTGCAGGCGCCTGGATGCGTCGGTACGTCTGCTTGTCTGTTGTAAAAGGATGCATTTTAGTAGCCGTTAATGGCTTTTGAGGAAGACTTTGTTTTTTTGTAGTTTTGTTTTTTAAATTTATTTTTTATGTATAACATTGTACGTTTGACACTTTTTTGTGTGTGTTTTGAGTGGCCACGTGTTATCACATGTTTTGGCGTGGCTCGTTCCTGCGCGTTTCCATGTCTGTGCTTGAATTAAGAAAATAGGTCAGTAGAACACTCTGCCTCACAGATCCTGTTTATAGTGTGTGAGCGCTTTAAACACCTGCAGCATCACATAGACCCCACCGGATAAAAATACAGCTATAAGAGAAAAACACGTCATGCGTATAAATAGTAATTAATGTAATTGTGCTGACACTATGTAAAACTGTGTTTCTGTAATCTGGACGGTAAAACACAAAAGCATGCCATATATATATATATATATATATATCGAGCCCATGCAGCCAGGGATAGATGGAAGGCTCCCCGCTGAGTTTGCTGTGTCAAGAAGCAGAGTAGCATCTAGCTGGCGTCTCCTGCACACCCTCCACCCTCTTCCTCCCCCTTGGCGCTAGGTGCTAGCCAGCAGTGCTATTGGAGGCTGGGGCGATAAGGCGTCCTGCTTTTCTCTCTCTCTCTGCTTCGTCCCCTAGAGGGCAATCACTTACCCTTTTGAAACCCTCCCCCCACCCAGCCACCGTATTTTCCCCAGCTGGGGTTTAAGAAGTGTCTCTCCTGATACAGAGAAAGGGAGCTAGAAAGGCAGACAGAAGGTAGTGGAGAGAGGGAGAGAAATAGGGAAAAAGAGGCACACAGGGGGAAAAGAGACAAGGCTAAGAAGAGAAATGCTAAGATAGAGGGCATCTTGCCTTTCCATCCTTGGAACACTGAGGCAAACCCTGTGTCTGTCTACCCAGACAGAGATAGGACTGAAATGCTTTATCATGACCACCCCTTGCTGATTAAGCCTTATCAGATATATGTGTCAGAGCCAGAGTCTCGTGGGGTTGGCACACGCACATGCATGTTTTATTGTCAGTCTGTTTTTTTCTGTTGAATTAATTTGAGCAGTATTTGATCTTCTGATTAGTTCACATGTGGTGAAGGAGGTTATGTCAAATTAACCGATGGCATAGCCTCAAATGTAGGTGTGATTTATTTGTGCCAGTTACTGCAAATATTTGAATGAAATTGACGATATAGTCAATATGTCAACGTTTAATATTCCACTTAGGTAACTTAGGTAGAAGACAGCTATATACACATATATATATCCAGCCCTGTCTCTTTATATGATGGTTCCATGCTGGACATGAATCACAAGACTGCTTAATGATGAGCGTGCAGGGCGGCTGTCCTGCTCATTAGCATGGCTCATTATTGGCTGTGAATGAGGTGCTGGTGTCAGCTCATACCGCCTGTGAGTCATCTTAGGGAGGGTCTCATCGCCATGCCTGTCTCACACAGATGCACCAGTGGTATTACCCCCCCACACAAACCCATTCCAGCTGCCTCATTCAGTGACTGGGACTGTCATCAGAATGAAGAGAGTTGTGGGACACTGAAATTTGCTGTGTTTTTTTTTTTTTTCATTTTCACTCTAGAGATTACATATAATTAAACAGTAAAAGCTGCATTATCATGTTTGCTTTCTAATACCCTTTCCAATACCCCAAAGGCAAATGCTTTAATGCTTATTTGCTGATTTTTGTGCGTGCGTGTCAAGGGAGAGGACATTTTATTCCAAAGCGATGGAGTGTTGAATTAAGTGATGGTTTTCATGTATGAACATTGAAAGAGGGTTTCAGGAGAAACAATTCCCTTTGCATTGCTTATCTAAAAGCCCCCCAAAGCAGCTGCTGCTCTCACAAAGGGCCAGTGAAGCGTTAGATCAATACTAACCCTTGCTAGAGGCTATCTGATGCTCAAAATGCATGGATCCATCTCCTCTGCATAGCCCTGAGACAGGTGTGGAGTCCTGGAAGCCACTATCTGATGGCTTCACAATGGGGTAAAGAAGTGGTGGGGGCCTGAAAGCGGGCGGTGGGGCAGCTGGGCTTGTTTTCATAGCACCGGAAAACGCAAATTAACTGTTCACTTGACAAATGTACTCTTGGATATCCTATAAACTCAGGTTATAATGCTTATTGGTGTGCAGTAAATTGGTATTTTCAGGCCCGTGCAGCGGAGTCACTTAATGTTGCTCTGATGTTATGCATAGAAATAATGTAACAAGTTCCAGCAGTGTGCAAGTGAATATACTTCACCCACAGACACAGAGTCATCTCTAGCCATGCATTATCCAGCTTATGAGTCTGACGATTTATTGTTTGTAAGTTTATACCACTTACCGCAACCCAGTTTGTTATCTTAACTTGTGAGATGATACTAAAACAAGTTGTATCAGCTGCCTGTGTGCATTTTACTGGCTGTCTGTCGCTGTGGTCTCATTCCTTAAAGATCATGCTGTCTTTCTCTCTCAAGATAAGAAAAGCTTTGACAATGAGGGTAATCTCACAGCAGTTTGTGGGTAGTTGTTTTACCACTGGAGTGTTTGGTTCCTCCAAGGCCATTTTATGCCTTGTTGTTGCTTTACATTCTCGACTCAATGCAAATGTATCTCCAGGGTGTCAGGTTCTTTGTTGACCTCCTTGATGTGGCCTCTGTCTTTCAAGGTCTGATACTTGGCGGATACTTGAAACTTGAGTATCATGCCGTGAATGTAAACAGCTGACGTTTGAGCACTCTGCTGGAAATGTTTGTCACAAGGATACACAAATACAGTCAGAGGCCAAAGCTGTAGGTACCCTTCGTACAGTTATTTTGCAACAGCTCCCAAGTTACGGAAGCATGTCAGTGCGTCTTGTTAAGTAAATTTATATTCCTGCACAAGAACCTGTGCACAAACGAGTTTTACGAGAATTAAAGAGCCCCAAATTGCATTTGACGTGTATGTTTGATGTATGGTGGATATTACCTAAGGAGTAACTTTACAGAGTCATATACATTACCATAAGGTAAACACCAGCCAAAATGGCATTTTACATTTGTAATAATAATAATAATTATAATCATACTTAATTATGATGTATAATGACTTTGTAGTTATTGCCACTTATCCTTAAATAAAAAATGCACATGCTACATTCATCAGTGATGATATAACCAAATTCAACAACCACGTCTTTAAATACTCGACCACTCCAGCATGCAATAATTCCACAGGGAGACTATAATCTTTCAGTGCAGCCAGAGAGAGACACGAGGAACAGTGTGGGTGTAGAACACAAGTATGGTAACTGAATACTATGTGACTAAGGCAATTCTTTCACTTAGGAATGTGGGATATCTGAATTAGACTTTTATTAGCTTGCTACGTATACGCAGCCTCTATGGAGATGACAACTGTTTGAATTCTGTGAAAGAATTTTTAAAAAAAAGCATAAAAGCTCTCTTGTCTCAGCTCACAGTGCAGATCTGATCCCCAAAGCAGAGGGAACCCAAAATGACCTGAAAGGGATTACATCATCCTGGAGCAACACTGGCTTACACAGTGCAGTACGTTCTACAGTAATCATATTGCCATGCCATTCCCCATAAGCTTCGTCTATTTAAATCCTTTAATTATGTACCAGCAGCACCGAAGCAGTGTTTACTGTAAGAGTCCCGGGTACCTAGTTTTGTATTGTACTTGTGCCTTGTGTTAATAAACTTGGGTGGAGGAAGAGCCCTGCAGGCACTCACAGCAACTGTAATGAGAGTGTGTTTAGTCTAGAGTCCGTGTAAGACTAATACTGATGGATTGTATGGCTCCAGGTCAGGTCTTGCACTCTTACATATTGGTGGAGGCTTATAAAAGAATCAAGGAAACGTTTCATGAGGTCATGCTCTCTCCATTTATTCATTTGAGAAGAAATGGCGATAATGTGTAGTTTTGAAAAACTACATGTTGTCACCAGAAATAATAAAGAGATTGTTTATAGTTTCTAGCTGTCTGGAGTGGTCACAAGAATTCATCAATAAAATGCAGCTGCTCTAGTTAAACAAGTAGCAAAACATCAGGATAAGATACCTAGATATGTTGATCGTGTTTCACTCAGAAGTTCATTTTCTAAGAATTAGCGAACTTTTCCCACTGAAGCCACGCGGCTCTGCTTCCCTACTAGCCAGCCCAGACTTGCCCTCTCACGAGATAAGATAGTGTTGACTACAGGCTAGTGTGTAGAGACTAGTGTGGGGCCTCCAGTGCGCTTAGTCACCCTCATTCACATCCTGTGCTCTGAAGTTTTACTGGTTTATGATCTTTGCACCAGCAGTCGAATCCTGACAGTTCAAAGTAGCATGACAAATTGAGAATCCCTGCCCCGTGGACAGATCCTAGGCAGGATTTTCTTAGGCTGTTGAGTTTTTTTAATTACTAGATAGAAAACTGAAAAAAATGGATTCAGGTTCTGCTTTTATTTTTCTTTTGACAGATTTCTCACATCTACTTTTTTATCGATAGTTAAGGTAAATTAATTATTAT